CCCAACGCCCTGCAAGCAAGCAAGCAAGAGAGAGTGTGGGGCGGACACACACACACACAGACAGAGACAGACACAGACACAGTCTCTCAAGCCGTATAATACAGAAGATGACGGCGACACACACGCAGAGAAAGACAAAATATGGAGAAACAGAATCAGACAGACCGGAATGCCTCCACGAAAATACCTTGACTTTGGCACGTTTCTACTGTCACCCTCGGCCGCTTGCTGGCACCACAGCCGGGGAATAGAATAGACCCGCTTGCGCACCGCTTCGCGACCAGCAGGCTCAGAGTTGGCCCAGGCATGCAGATGTAGGCTCGCTGGGAGTGTTTCCTGACAACGAGGGGCGGCCGCAGCCGGCAGGGTGTGTGTGTGTGTGTCCTCTCGCCATGTTTTTGCACGCAAAGAGAATCTGTCAAGAGAAGGAGAGATGAGCTCAAGATTAATGTAGGAGGAGGCAGAAGTGAAGGTGTCCTCCTTGCCGAGGTAGCAAAGCTGCCCGCCGGGAGTTGCAAGCCAAGGAGCTGTTGGAGGCTTTGGAAGATTCGATGCCATTGACAGATAAAGATGCGATCCCGGACATCGTGAGCAAGTTCGACACCACGGGCAAGGTTGTTGAAGAGATCCTGAGTCAGACCAAGACAGCTCCTCAAATGCAAGACTGGTCGGAAATGGACAGGACGGAAATGTCTTTTGGCGAGCAGTTGTACTGGTGGCTGCAATCCAGCCGTTTCGAGATCCTCAGCTGCATGGTCGCTTTCTGCACAGGTGACAAACGTCCTCGTGTTGTGTGGTGTTGCCTGATGTTCACTTGCCAGGATGCTGATCATTTGCCTCCTGTGTGCCAACATTTTTTGGATGGCTTTGGAGCTACAGATTTCCGGATCCTTCACAGCCTTCGAAACACATTTGGTGCCTTCTCCAAGTTTTCCACAGGACACCAGCGGCACGGACTCTCGTGTTTGGGAAGTGGGCTTGTAGTTGGCCACGCTGCCCATGAAACTATCCAGGGGTGCAGAAATGTCTTACTCAAGCTTCATCTTGACACCCACTCGCGCAGACCGTCAAGACGCAGGAATGCAGGGCAGAATTCACTGCACTGCAGGAGACGAAGCCAGTGCTCAACGAGATGCTGCAGATCGGTGATATCATATTCTCCGGAGCTTTGGCTGTGAAGTCATGCAGCCCTCCATAAATGTTACCCTTCATGGGGAGCACCAGTAGGCCCACAAAAGCTCCGAATGTTGCAGCTCCGTCAACTCTGAGACGCCTGCACAGCTGAAGATTTGGGGCACTTGTTGGATTGGTGCAGTTAATACCGGAGCGAGATGTTGCAGAAAGCATAATCAGATCAGGTCTCTGTCTCTGTGTGTGTGTGTGAACGTGTGGAGACTGCGTGTCTCTTGAGGCCTCGACAACTTAGCCTAGCGGGACTGCCGTCTTGCAAAGAAGAGAGAGGAGAACCAAGTCTGCTGCCATGACTCTGAGTGAATGCTGATACTGGCCTATTTGTAGGGTGAAAGCAATGCTTCTCACCGGTAGAATTTGCTCGCAGCGGTTCTTGCTAATGTTGATGGTATGCCTGCCGCGTGCCTGTGTCGCTGAGGACTATTTCTTCTCGAGGTGTCTATCCGCATCGTATGTTTGGGCAAACAGTTTTGGAAGGTCTGGCTGAACTACGCAGACCTGGCGGTAAGCTTGGTTTCTGCAGTGGAAGTCATCTCAACCTTGCTGGTGATGCCTGTTAGCCCCGTGCTCAGTTGTTTCGGACAATAGGAATGCACTGTTGCATCGTGCTCTTGCCCTCAAGAGAACAACATACTTGGAAATCGACCAATGAATGTTAAGTTTTCATGCATCCATTACATGTGATTCTTTTATGTCTGGGTATGTTGTTCATCCCAACCTTCAGCTGCACGCGGCGATTTCTATCACCAATGTTTGGCTCAAGGCACAGTGAAGTGCTCTTGTTGCTTTGTGTTTTGTAAGCCTACTGACGCCACAGCGTTCCATCACGGTGCATTCCATGTTATCCCGAGGCTCACGTTTCGTTCCCCGCTTGTTGCGTCGAGGAGGCTGCATCAACATGAATTCAGCGATCTCCGTGTTTAAGAGCTTCTCCGGCAGCCTTGGCCTCCAAACAGCCCGTGTTGGCGCTTCGCCACCGGGAAGTGGCGAAAGCCAAACCGCCTTGCCAGCGGCCGTGTTCATGGTCGCGAGGTATCTACGCCTGCGAATTTGCGTGATCCAGGGTGCACCTCCGCTCTTACTTAGTTTAGAGTCGGTTAGAGAGACTCGGGCTTTCGGTTTACCAACCTCCGTTTGCAACCACGATCGGTTCCGGTGCTGCTGACATGTGTTGATCTTCAGTGCAGTTGATCATACATCGCATCCCGTCACAGACTGGTATGCAGTAGGCATTCCGCTCGGTGAGCCAACGGTTCGTTTCTGAGTTCAAGATCAAGCCGCAGTAATGCCATTGAGTCGCGAAGCTCAGGAACGGCATCTCCTTCCTGTCAAAAGAGGAGGACGAACCGGTAACGGTCTGCCACGGACCCTTTCAAGGGGAGACCGGTAGCAGTAGCAGTTGGCCCTATGTTGCACCGACTGTGGGCTGCGTGCCGCTTGCATCAGCTGGGTAGCCAGTTGCGGGGCCCGCTGCCTGCGGGAGGATTGGCGGGCGCGGACTGCCAGAGCTTCATCCTGTCCCCCCGGAATGAATGTCCGGAGGAAGTTCCAGATAAAATTTTCTTTTGACATGAGCAAAATCTTTGACTCCTGTGCCTGGGCTTTGGTGCTCTCCCTCTTGGATAGCATAGGCCTCCCGAAAAGGGTTCCTCAAGGCCTGAGAGGCCAGTGGAGTGTTCACCAGTGCTGGACCTACGGCTCTGCCATCGCTAAGGAACCTTTGTTCGCACTTGCTGCTTTGCTTAAAGGCAATCCTTTCATTCCGCTTGGGACTCGCCTGTAGGCTCCTCCTTCTGGTGAGGAAAAGTGCAGGCAAGTCACCCAAGGCTTTTCAGACAGTTTGCTTGGATGGGCCTGGTCAAGGATGTAGGGGCTGTGCAGTTTGTACTTCAGCAGTGGGCGGCTCTGAGAGAACTACGCGTTTGCGGCCTCATGCTGGGAAGACCCAGTATTGGGCCAGGAGTGCTGAGGCCTTGCAGGCTCTTCAGGAGGCTGGCTTCGCTGCAGTTTCCTCTCTTTGCCTTGGGCATGAGCTTAGGCTCTCCAAGGAGACCTTTGTGTGAGAAGGAAGAGCAGCGAGCCCAGCGCTGTGCTGCTCGCGCTGACGGCTGCGCTGTCTGCCGGTGAGCTTGAACCTTCAGAGACAGATCGCTGAGTGTGCGATTGCTCCTCGAGCAGTCTGGGGCACAATCATCAATGGCAGGAAGCTTCTTGCTGCTGAAATTAAGGCTTATGCTTCGGCTTACAACACTGCTTTCAAGGCGTCTGGGCTTGCCAAGGGCAGGGCCGGAGTCTGAGGAGGACAGCCTTCTTAGGCCACACAAGGGATCAGGGTCCAGTGGGCTCCTTTTTTTGTCTCCGTGCTTTTTCAAGCTTTGAGTAAGTGGTTTTGGTCGGCCTCAGTGAAAACGGTCGACGAGTCGTTTCATTCGGAGACTCGGCGGATGCTCAGGGTAAAGTCGTGCATAGGCTACGTGCCAAGTGGCGCTCTCTAAAGCTTCGCCGATGGCGAGAGAACGACCGCAGAGATGCGATTATTGCCCGCCAAATCTGCTTAGGCCCAGCTGCTGAGACTTTGCACACGAAGCTGAAACAACTGCTTAGCAGATGCGCACATGGTCGCTGTTGCTCCTGGAGGAATGATGACAGAAGCCATTCCAATTAGAGGGCCAGAGGGAGACCGAGCCCGCGGCACTGCCCGGACTGCAATGCTAATTTTGTTCCATCGCTGGACCACGTCCTTTGGCGGTGTGCAGCTTTCGGACACTGACGTGGAGCCACCAAGGCGCCCGTCGGCGGTTCGAGTTGGCTGCAGCCCGACTGTGAGTGTGGAGCAGTCACGACGTCTCGTGCGATCGCTGGCCTAGATCAGGAAGCAAGAATGTGAGTGGCGTGCGCATCGCCACCGCTGGTGGCGTCAGCCTGCAGAGGACCGGAGTCCTATATGCAACGCATGCATCCTTGAAGTTTGCGTCTGACTGGCTCAACCAAGAGTTTCAGCAATCTACTGGAGGACAAACTGCCAACGAGTGACCGGATTCACGAAGGTCAAACCGCCACAGGAATGGCCAGCCATGCTAGATTCTGCTAGAGCAACTCTGCATCTTCCAGAAGGCTCAATCGCCAAAAGCCACAACAGTCCCCTCGAATGTTCGCATGGACGATGACACGTCAGGTGACCCAACGTCTGTAGAGCAGATGCAGCTGCACTCCCGATGAGCGGAATGAGCCGATTCCGCTCACCGAGTTTGATGGCGGTCAGATTTGGATCGAGGACCCTATCGGACGTGGCCAATGCCCACAGAATAATTGCAACCTTCAAGTTACCCGCTAGGTTCAATGAAGCACGAAAGTGCTGTGCCGCACCAAGAACCTGGAGCGGACCTCAGCACAGTCGTGGGACGATCATCGCGTATTCTGCAAACTCCTACGGGTGCATGCGAGCTGAGAAGTTCAGAGATGCTCAGAGCACTAAGCCTTCACTAAGCTTTAGGGGTGCTGGTGTTTAATCGTATTTGTGTGGCTGTTTCACGCTGTCTACGATGCGGGAGTTGACAAAAAACCACTCTTCCTCCATATGTCACTCATCACATGTGACGCTTTGATGCCCAGGTATGTACGTGCATATGTAGATCATCAGGACTCAGTTTCACACCGAGATTGCTCTCACCGATATTTGGCGCAAGACACGAAAAGAATACTTGTGTTACTGTGTACTGGAACCTGCGAGTACCTCACATTTTGTTGTACATCGGGATCCGGCACGGGCAACAAGCAAGTGATTAAATTGAGCACGTGAGTTGTGAGTCAGCCGAACTCAGGCCCCGTCCTGGTGCGCATCCTACGGCTTGGGAAGCTCGCGCGTGTTATTCGCCTGATTAGCATGGGTAGTGTCCTCCAATCGCTCCAGCTGCTTCTGAAGAGTCTCATGTCCAGCATTGATATGCTTTTTTGGAGCTTCTGCCTCTTGGCATTCTTGCAATGCGTGGCTGGTTTGGTGGTGAGCACCCTCTGCCGAGAGTACTTGGCCGATGACACCGTTGATGCAGAATTGCGTGACCAAGTCTTTCGCTACTTCGGGACGTTCACGCGCACATTTCTCACGATGTTTGAAGTGCTCTTCGCGAATTGGGGTCCACCATGTCGAGTGCTGGTGGAGAACATCAGCGAGTGGTTTGCCCTATTCTTTTTATTTTACAGGTGCGTAATTGGGTTCGCAGTCCTGAACGTGGTAGGGGCACGCCGGACTGCAATAACAACATGTTGTCGGTGGGGAAACATTGAGCTTTCGTGACAAAGAAGCTAGTCGGTCATCACGCCACACATTGCACTTGCCCAGGCCGTTTTCATTCAGCAGACCCTCAAGACTGCACACTCGGATGAAGAGCTGGCATACAGACAGAAGGAAAAGGAGATCCAAGCGTACACGCGGAAGGTGCGGAAACTGTTTCAGTCGATGGACGACTCAGGCCATGGGTGCAGTGAGTGCAGTGGCTCAGGAACATCATTGGATGGCACAGTTTTTTACAATCGTTTCGTGTCATGTTTCGTGCATGCAAGAAGGTTTCCCCAGCAGGTTGTACAGTGTCGATCGGTGCGCGGTTTCCAGGAACTTCTCCCCCCCTCTTGATCATAGACTGTGCGCTGGTGCTTACTACATGGAATGTGCCGTTCGTCCTTTGCTAGGGGTGGGAAAGGTTCTTCGCGAGGTAGGGCTTGGACTGTTGGGCGCTCTTTCACTCTTTGGTCTCTATGCCATGGCTCGCACTGCCAGGCGATGGCGCATTGAACTTAGAAGAGTTCTCCAAGTTGGTGACGAGTCCAAAGTTAAGCTTCTGGATGAGACGCTCGGCACAGCCTTGGTCGGGCAAACAGTGCCAAAGCAAATAGGCCTCAGATCTTTCTCCCGGGATGCCGCACCGTGTTACATGGGAATAGAGTAGAATGTTGATGTCTAAACGCCTTGCTATAAAGCTCGGTCGCGTCTATGTCCGCGGAGATCGGAGTTTGTGCCAGCTTACAATGACATTGAAGTGTACGTAATTAGTTGTGTGGCCATAAGCACGGCAATGCAAAAGAAGACCGTGGAGTCCTTAAACCTCCAAGTTCAAGATTGGAGTGCACTTATATAGCCTGCGGCCTGCAGCATGCAGCTGTAGGGGTCGCGGCGATGATATCGAACCTCTGCCTTGTTGGGTTGTCTGAGGTCAGCTGGAGTTGGAGTACCACGATCTCCTCAGCTTGTTCGAGCTTCTGGGCAAACTTGGCCTACTAAAGACCGGGAATACTCGACTGGACAGCAATTGGTATCCCTGGTGTCGGCGAGAGCAGGATCGTTCGACTTTGAATGCTAACCAAGGAAACTTTGAATTTATTCGAAGACTACTTCTTGCTGATGTTTTCGACATTTTTCGATACAGCCTGAGGAAAGCCTCGAACAAGCAGTCGAAGACTTCATCGGCACGTGAGATTTTGGCAAACCATTTTATGAGCGAAGATTGAAGATCAAGAACGTGTTTTTTCTTAGAAGTGTATTGTTTCCGACGGGGGAGGCGGCTTTTTGCTTGAAGCACAAGAACCTTCCGTGGCAACAGCGGGGAGCGACGATGTGTCGATGAAATTCGAAGGCTTTTTCCACTACCGGTTTTTCGTCCGAAGCAATCGATATAGTGCTCGATAGTTTTTGGATACCCGACGATGCACCGAGGGGAAAGGCACACTTTTCAGGCAAATGTGGCTTTGCGACGTATTTACGGGTTTTCGAAATACAAATGCCTAAGCCCTAAGCATGGACTTTCTGCAAACCAGCGAGATTTTCAATTTCAACGCTTGAGCAGGGTTTTGCCACACATTCCACATACACGATAACTGCGACAGTGTCTGCCCCAAATCCTGCTTCCGCCGGTCTCTGGTCCAATTCAGCCGAAGGGTGAGAGTTCGAATCTAGCATTCGCGCCAGGTTTCTCGATGACGGAGATGGACAGATTACGCTGGCCGAATCGCCGTAGCACTATGTTGCAACGTTTGTCGTGGAGCATGATTGGAGATTGCCAGGACACCAGGTGTTCAGCTGTACAGCAGGTAGCCAAGAAAGAGCAGCTAAGGAGTTCATCGAAGGCCGCTTGGACGGCTGATCCGAAATTCGATTCAGATATAGCTGCATCAGATATTGTTGCATAGTGTCTGAAGTATGGGCATCCATGTGAGGCTCTCGTGCCTTAAAGGCTTGTTGCCATGCAAGTTCTGCCTGCGGAGATCTGCACAGGTTCCGCGCGGTTTAGAGGCGGAGCGAAAGCCTTGGACATATGGCGCTTGGAGACGAAAGTTGAAGTTCTCTTTGAGGACAGAGCCTGTTTCTCGAAGCTCGTAGCTGTTCATTTGCGTGTGGTTTCGCATGAGCGGCGCCTGCTCTCTTGAGCGAAATCGCGCGATCTGTCATGAAGCTGATGCTGTGATGACGGTTGAGAAGGAGACTGGAAAGGGAACGATGGGAAGGAAGAAAAGCAGCAGTTCCCCTGCCCCCCATGCCCTCATAGAGCAGAAAGACTCAGGGAGGCGAAGGCCTTTGACCTTCGATTGGACCATCATGCGTTTCATCAAGCATTTTTGTGCTTGCTAGCGCATGTTTCAGAACTGTGGCCCATTTTTCCGAGTCTGTTTCCGGCTCCACGCAGCTAATTCTTCGACCTTGTGTGTACGCGACGAAGCCACATAGAACAGCAAAAAGGAGCCTGAGAACGTCGGACGGAGTCAGGTAGCTTAGCAGACCTCGAGGATCACAGTGCAGTTGCTGCTGTTTTAGCTATCAGGCTGATCCGGCCCCAGCTGTCACTTATTAGGCCGTATCCCAGCCTCAGAGTGCAACGTTCCTTTGGAATGTGTTCAGCTGTCGGGCAGTGGCAATCAAAGATCTTCAGCTTGCAGGGTGCTGCCGCGAAAAATCATAATTGCATGTCGAGGATGGTTCGTGCAACGGCGTACAGTAGAAGCCCAAAAGTTGGAAACCCAATAGCCTCAATCCTTAAGAGTCATATATAGGGAATCCCAGCAATAATTGTCCTTGATCCAGTTTCCAACTTTTTGGGTTTCACTATAAGTGGAATCTTCAAGTGAAGGGTAGGGTTTTGCTTTGTTATCGTGCGCTGAAAAATGAGATGGTGAGATGTAGCAGCAGCCTGTCAAGTCAGCAAAGTCTGTGTTTCATTGTGTATGATGCCAACGATAAGTCGGGAAGGCTGTTGGATTATGTAGACCGTTAGACTCTGGTACCGTAGAAGTCGGCGCCAAGTGTCGGCACCACGCTTGCTCGCCGTAGTGGTGGTGTCGTGTTGTCAGGAATGCTCAAGAAATGTTCATTGGTCCGCCACAAGACATGGAGGAGATGTTGAACCTGATGCACACAGAGGATCCTGAAGTTTCGTCATACGTGCAGCGTGCATTCACGCACTCGGCTTACTCGCACATGAAGAGCGCCTTGCGCCGAGCTGAGCCGAAAGGCTAAGGGATAGCAAGAGTGCAGGACAGTCTTTGCCGACAAGCGCGGCTAGTGCCCGCACCACACCCAACGTGTAGATACGATTTTGTTCGCATGAGTCTGGAGGAAAGCTTCGAATACCATGCTGTAAAGCGCACTGCGTCCTGCATCGGCGAACGACTGCGCAGGATGTAGTGCAACTAGTGCAATTAAGGGCGGGAGGACCGGCAGTGCTCACATGGCTTGCTTCCCTTGTTCGATGTTTCTGCTATGCAGCATACTGCCGAGTCTGTTCACATCATTTTTGGGCTGCAGGAAGCAAATTCTACCTGCCAGCGCAGCAATTAACTTGCATGTCACACAGTAGGCGGCCCAGCTCAGCTGAAACTGTTCGCCGCCGGCCCCGGCTAACTTTGCTCTATTACATTCAGGTGGTGTTACGAACAGACTTGGAGCATGTGCGGCACCTTGCACCGATGGTTCACTTCACGACTAGTGATCAGGCAAATTCAGGCAATATTTCTGAGTATTTCTGCGTTATGTTCTGTTGCACATATGGTCCGCACACATGACTCCAACAACTCTTACTTCGTCTGTCCTCTGAATGAAAAGCCGTCGGCTTTGTTTGCTCCAACTGCTGGATTTTGCGGCCAAACAGACAGGGCGCGAGATGCAGTCAACCTGTGAGGGAGCTGTCTCGTTTTCTTCTCCCAAGCGCCTATGGCGTGTTGTTTGGAAATTCTGTGAAATCCCTAGCGAGGTTTCTGCAATTGGCATCGGCGTCGGCCTGTTCTTGCCTATCTGGTCCACCGATGCGATCTGGTCCCTGACCCGAGCCGCTCAGACTTGAAAGAAACTTCTTAGGAGATTGCAGCCAGCTTTGAGCTGTGAGACGTGATGCGGCAGCCGAACGAAGCTTGTTGAGGTCTCTGTTCTTGTGCAGTTCTCGCGATATCTGTTCTGGGTCCGCAGCTTGGAGCGGCTGACGGCGCTTTCTTGCCAATTGTGACAATAGTGGGCAACCCTGCTAAGGGCTGTGTGCTGGCAGTGAAGTGCGTGCTGGCTTACTACGGTGATGGATCTCAGAAGACCAGTGTGCACAACCGCAACCTGCGCTTCTTCAACGCCTTACTTGGACATCGAACTTAGTGATCTTGCCTTTCGATGCTGCAGATATGTTCACTTTTGATGCGTGACAAAGGATTGATCTCAAAGATGCTTCGGTCAGTCGAGAAACTGCGCCTGAGCCTGGCCCCAAGAGTTCTTCAGATTCTGGAGCATCGGTTTGTAGCCTGTGCAGAGCGCTTTGCTACTTGCCGAGAGTACAGCCCGAGGCATTCGAGGCGGCACAGGCACAGACTCTCGAAGACGCATCTGCCCTTGAGGTCAGTACTCCCAATCCGATGTCTATGCCATGGCCGCTGCCTCAGGGTCAGAAAGCTTTAAATAAACAAGGCCTCAAGCAGTTTTTAGTGAGAAGAGTGCCTCCGTAAACTTCGCAGCCGCGGGGCTCCTCCGAGGGCTGGCGGGGCCTCTTTCTCAACGCACCTCTCAGCCGTGACTTCCTGGAGGGCTGCGGCATCTGGGGTGGACGCCTTAAAGGGGGTTTCGCGCTTGCGAAAGTACGAGTAGGGAGTAGGCCCATCATCACAGACTGGCATCGTCAGTCTCATTGCACCTTCCATAGCGAAGGCTTTAACTTCATTTGGCAACCAACCGAAGGCTCCATGACATTCTGTAGTTGCGCATTTTGCACAGCCGAGGGGCTGCATTCTTCTTGTTCTTTGCGGACACGCTCCTTGACCAGCAGATCCCAGTCACGAACGACTGGACGGTTCTAGTCGGATCCTTGAAAGCCACAAGCCCGGGTCGCAAACTTCCATGCTGCAACTAGATGCGGAAGAGTGACTAGTTCACGAATTCTCAGGTTTTCTGGTGATTTAGGTTCGGGACCCTTCTCTGGTTTAGCCGCTTCTTCCATTTCAGAAGGGGTGCCACAGCACGGCTTTGATCCGATTGCCGCGCTTGTTTCCTATGAAGTGATCGCGTATTCGAAGGATTGCAGAGTTTTGTGTGGACCTTTCTTGGGTTGCTCGTGCAAGACCAGCCACCTCCGCACAGACCATGCAAGCACTGCTAGCCAGACTTCACAAGATCTCTTTAATGCTGGCCCCAAATTCATGGGGCTCTGGGTTCATGATAGCCTTCAGGACAGAAGTTACAGGAAATTTGTTGGAGTCACGGACACCTGCACCGAGTCAGCGAGCTTCGTTCAACGGCGGGCTATGTGCATTGTGAGAACAGGAACCGGTGATGCAAAGAACCACTTAACCAGTCATTTCGGGCCCTTCCGGATTGAACAGCCAGACAGGAGAAGTTAAGCAAGTGCTCTGCGGCATAAGTGCAGAAGGTTGGCCAGCCTCACTGAGGAACACTCGAGAAGACTGTGTATTGTGAAGGCTTCACTCTTTGGCGTTCGTGCCGGAGCCAAGGCTCCTGTGGCACATTCTGGGCTGTACCATCCTGGGCCAAGTCCTCGGAAGACTACCCCCAGAGTCCTGCACACTGTGATTGCATCCCAGAAGGGCAGTGCAAGCATTCAGCAGGCCTCGTTTTCGCAAGGTTTCTGACCATATCAGACCGATGAAGCAACGACGAACGCGGTCGAGCATCTTTACATATTGCTACAGTGGTGGATGCCCTGTACACGTATTCCAACTAGGGCGCCCTGTACCGGCACGAGGAGCCGAAAGTGCTAGGGCCATTTCGGCCTCGCGACATGGTCTTCGAAAAGCCTTCTTCAATCAAGAAGCGTACGTATCAGTTGCCCCGCAGCCGAACTTGTCGCACTTCTGCGGCACTTCTATTCATCAAAGCAACGTTCCAACGAGTAAAGCAAACGCATATCCAGACAGCCACTTACTGAGCTTCATCGGCAGAACTCCAAGACCACGCTCAAGAGGGTCTCAAGAGCAAACAAAGAGCCGACATGTGCTCTGTTGGTTATGATATGATACTTGCGGATACTTTCGGTACCTGTTTCTTGTGGTCAGTGGTTCTGTTAGTGACCATCTACTATCGTGACTTGCGGGCCATCCACCGGGCAAGGAAGATAGACCCGCCCCGGAACCAAGGCGTTTGCTACGTTTTCGTCCAGCGGCGTGGACGTGTCCGCAGCTTTGTCACCGAGGATAGTCTAAGCAAGAGCTGCACATGTCTTTTTGGGTGCACCCGAACGTCTGCGATCATGTGCAATCATGCCTCTTGCTCATCCAATAATTTGGCGTGCGAAGTGTCCCCAACTCGTCTACTGGGTCTTGGTGGTTTCGGCTCAAGCCAGGAAGCCTCCTGCTGTAAGTAAGGCTTGTCATCTCGTCCCTGCGAGGTGGATTAGCTGGTTTAGGCCATTATGCAGGCGATTTGCTACAGTGATGCCAGCTCGGACGAGGCAGCGCGGTAGGGCCGAGAAGCGACAAGCGTTCTTCACACAGACTGCCTTCGAGCTGCGGTTTTGCTGTTACCATGTTTTCTTGGCAGGAGAGTGGCTACGATTGCAAATCAAGCGGTGGCCATGACTTGTCAAACACGGAGGACTTGTCGAGGGGTTTGTGCCGTACTTCTTTGTAGGCAAAGTATGTCAGACGTGGCTTTCCAGGAGAAGGAAGGCTTGATTGGAGGCTCGCAGAGCGGAGCAGTTGCAGTGGGGTCCATTAGGAGTTTGATGTCCTGCGAGTTGCTCTGGTTCACCCGTGAATGGTTCCTTGGCCAAGGCGAGGAGGACAACCACCACGAAGGACAGTGTGGCAAGGCGAGCCCCTAAGGCACATCAGTTCTTGTGGGTGCTTGCTTCTAGTCTGATGGGCCGTCCTTGCACCAAGCCTCGCAAGCTACATGTGGCTAGCAGTGCCTCTGAGGGGCCGGTTCCCAGTTGCGTCAAGCACGAATCGGAAGCAGTTTCGAGTTTCGAGGTTGCAGCCAGGGTGATCTGGAATTCTCGCTATTGCGTGGTCATTTGCTGGCCACTACTCGCACTGACGCCTGGAAATGTTTGAAGGATGATCTGTTTGTGATGCGGGCTGATACCTTATGGGACTGTTGCTGCCAGCGGCTGTCTCAGGATTATGGCGCCGTTTGCGTACAAATTGGCCGTTGGCTTGCACTGGGCATGGTGTGTCGATGTGCACACACACACACACACGGAGCAAGGTGGATTGCAGTTGTTTTGCAGATTGCGAAGTGTGACGAAGCGTGAGGTGATCAACGCCCTTCCACTGCCAAAGACCGCACCGCATGGCACCGCGTCTTTTGAGGCAGAGGAGCTCTTCGAGGCCGAGGGTCGCTGAGGTGCTACAGTGCCACATGCCACAGCCGTGATCACCTTTTAGGTGAAGTTCCCGTACTTGGTGGGTATGAAGATGGAGATGATCGTTCTCAAGCTCTTCGCCCTATTGTCATAGCGTGCGGTCGATCGATCCCGCTTTGAAACAAGCGCCGAGTGCCATTTCCCCTCCAGTCGTCGAATCCCTCGTCTAGTGAAGTGTCGTGCTATGGCAAGCAAGGTTGCACTGTGTTGATTCGACTCAGGTGCACGCCTCACTGCCCAACTGCTGTGATGCTCGACTTCAAAGCAAGTGCAGCCTGCATGCGCAGCACTCCTGCACCCACCTTGCGAGATTCGCATGGCACGCTACCGGCCGTGACAAGTCAGAGCTTATCTTGGAGCTCAGGGGTTCGGGGACACAACCTCAAGCAAGCAGACGGAGTCCTTTCCTGGCAAACCAAAATCTCGCACGGACGGCTTGTAGTGGTGACGTGTGGTGACCATGCGGCTCAGGTCCCTGGAAAGTGAGGCCTACGTTGAGCAGCTACGGGACGCCTTGCAAACTGCTGTTTCCAGACAATTTTGACAAGGGACCGCAGTGCATGTGTGGACGAATTTCTGCAAGACACCCACGAGATACCCGCGTGAGGACATGGTGATGAACTTCGGAAACGACTACCCCGGGACTGTCATTGATATTCGCCACCTGGCATTGCACCATGAAGCTGAGCTTGGTCGAAAGAAGTTGCCAGGGAAAGTATAGCCCCCCAGCAAGCTAGTTGCAGAGCTTCTCAGCTGCAGGGAAATGCAGCAAGCCTCCGCAGGACATAAAACACGAAGCCCGTCTTGTCCCTTGAAGCATGAGTACCAAAGCTGCCACAGCTTCTTTCATACTCAGGTTCGTACTACACTTTCGGTGACAAGATTGATGAAAATCCCATGCTGGCCCACGACCAGCAAAGTATTCTGTTCGTTTGGAGTTGCTCGGCTATGACAGGATCGCTCGTGCCTGTTTGAGTCGAGATCGGAGCTATGATGATGTCGTGATAAAAACCGGAGGAGAAACAGCCATGTACACACATGCCTGCACGCTTACACATCGGCATACGGCAAAGTGCATGTGCTCATGGATCTACCCTTTCATGTATCTGTCTGTTTATGTACCTATTCATATATTTATCTACCTATATCTTGCGATTGATCCGTTGATCTATCTGTCTATTTATCTGTCTACCTAGCTATCTATCTACTAGCCTTTTGCTTCGGTAGGCGCGAACGAGCTGGCCTGTTTGTCAGCTACAGTATATTGGCTTGGGGGGGTGCCTACACACGTTTTGAGGGACACTCTATACTCAAGAATTGTGGCAGCATTTTGCTTCAGGTTGAGGGTCACAGAGAAGGTTTTTCCACATAAATCCGGGCATCCCAGGCATACTTTTCCACATTAATCTGGGCCTCCAAGCAAGGTTTTTCCACAAAAATCTGGGCATCGCAGGCATACTTTTCCACATAAATCTGGGCCTCCAAGCAGGGTTTCCACAAAGGGGGCGGCACGTTGAGTAAAGTAGTTTTGGGGGCGGGCAAAGCGGGCGACACATTTAATAAAGTAGTTTGGGGGCGGACAAAGCGGGCGACACATTTAGTAAAGTATTTTTGGGGGCGAGCGAAGCCGGCACACATTTAGTAAAGTATAGTTTGGGGGGCGAGCGAAGCCGGCGACAGTTAGTAAAGTAGTTATTGGGTCGGGCAACGCGGACGACACATTTAGTAAAGTAGTTTTGGGGACCGACAAAGCAGGCGACACATTTAGTAAAGTAGTTTCGGGGAGCGAAGCCGGCGACACATTTGGTAAAGTAGTTGTTTGCGGACAACCATGGGTGAATTGTGGAAACGTTTGCGGGCAAACGTGCGTGATTTGCGGAATTTGTTGTGGATCAAGTGTGGCGGACTGCGAAAGCAAGTTGTGGACCAACTTTGGTGGCGTGCGGAAAAAGCGTGGAAAACAATGGTGGCAGTGTGGAATACCCTGAGCGGCTAGCGGATAAACATGTTGACAGCCATTGGTTGTTTGCGGAAACATATCTGGACACACTTCGGCTGTTTGCAGAAAAAACGTCTGTTTGCAGAAAAAACGTGGAAAACATCCGGGCTGGCTGCGGAAAAAGTTGTGGAATGTGATGTCGATTCGTGTTTTCTCTAAACTTACCTGATCAAAACCAAGCTCTTCCGCAATTTGTTCCGCAAGCTTTTCCGCAGACCGCCTGAGTTTTTCCACAACTTTATCCGCAAATCGGGCCGGTGTTTCCACAATTTTTCCGCAAACTCTGAGTTGTTCCACAACTTTTTGCGCAAATCGGGCCTGTGTGTCCACATTTTTTCCCGCAAACTTTTCCGCAAACCGCCTGAGTTTTTCCCCTTTTTTTCCGCAAATCGGGCCGGTGTTTCCACAATTTTTCCGCAAACTCTGAGTTGTTCCGCAACTTTCTGCGCAAATCGGGCCTGTGTTTCCACATTTTTTCCCGCAAACTTTTCCGCAAACCGCCTGAGTTTTTCCACAATTTTTTCCGCAAATCGGGCCGGTGTTTCCACAATTTTTCCGCAAACTCTGAGTTGTTCCACAACTTTTTCTGCAAATCGGGCCTGTGTTTCCACATTTTTTTCCGCAAACTTTTCCGCAAACCGCCTGAGTTGTTCCACAACTTTTTCCGCAAGTCGGGCCGGTGTTTCCACCAACTTTTCCGCAAGTCGGCCGATGTTTCCACAAACTGTTCCGCAAACCGCCCGCGTTTTTCCACAATTTTTTTTCGCACATCGGGCCGATGTTCCACAAACTTTTCTGCAAGCCGCCCGTACTTGTCCACAGTTTTTTTCCACACATCGGGCCGCGGTGTTTCCACAATTTGTTCCGCAAACTTTTCCGCAACGCACCCGGGTTGTGTTCACGTTCTTTTCTCACAAACTATTTCGCAAATAACTTTTTCCGTAAACAGCTGGGTTATTGCGGATGGCTCTGGCCCGGAACATTGTTTGGTTGTAACGTTTGGGTTGGGGGCCTTCCCCCCAGGAAAGAAAAACATGAGTCGCTGATGGGTGTTGACTCCAGAACAGCGGACGGCTATCCAGGTTTTGGTTCCGTGGTCGTTGGTCCTGCGCGGAAGAAGCGGTTCGAAAGATTGTCCGGCTGTAGGCGTGGAAACACCCGGCCGTAGGCGTGGAAAAACGCGGCCGAAAAACCCGGCCGGTGGGCATGGAAAGAACATCGAACTGCTCCCAAATATGGAGTTTAGAAAGCGTGTTGAACGACCCGGCCAAATATTGGCGGTACTGACTGCACTGTATGTCTTTATGTCTCTTTGTCTTTTCGGTCAAGGAAAAGGGTTCCTTGCTTGATGAGTTTGTGTCTGCTTTTTTGGTAACTTCGTGCGCGCGCCCTACCCTAGCAGGCTCCCGTAACAATTAGCCCCTTCGAACTAACCATATTCCCTGACTGACTCACTGATTATATAGCTCCTACCTTGACCCTCAAACCGTAAACTCAGCGAGTGGAAAATGGAAAGGGCCGTGTACAAAAAAAGAACGTAAGCCAGCGGGCATCCCTCATCCTCAGTTTAAGATGTCTGTGGTCCCACCACAGGCATCTTGCAGGGGTGAGGGATGTCTGTTGATCCCCCGGTGATCCTGAAACCTTAACACCAGAACATAGCTAAGCCCTTAAGCCTGTTATTTCAGCCATATATTCCCTGACTTACAACCTAAACCTATAGACTCGAAAACAATCTTAATAGTCTCTGAAAAGCACCTTTGCGCCTTGTCCTCTGTGTACATCTCCAACCACCTGAACATCTTCTGTGGCTGCATTACAGCATACCGCAGCTTCGGCTGCGGTGCTCTCTCTACCAGGCCTCAGTGCCTGGTTACCAGCATACCGAGGCTTCGGCCTCGGTGCTGGTCAACTCACCAGCATACCGAAGCTTCCCAACACTCCCACCTCACAGCCTGCTGCCTCACAGCCTGCTGGAGCACCAAAGGCCTTTCACCCCCGAATGTCGGGTTAGCCTGCCTCCATTCCAGTGCAGGATGTTTCATGCACCATGCCTGAGTTCAAAGAGACAGATGAGCAGCGTTTTTAATTTCCGTCTCTTGACGGAAGACTGCTGGACACAAAACTTTCACTCGACCTGAAAATCTCTCTGGGACTGCGCGCGCGGAAGGACGCGGAAGGGCTGCGGAAGGCGTTGCTCCGCGGAAGGCCGCGGAAGCAACTACTGGCCTATCTCCCCTTTTTGGAATACCAAATCCAGCCGCTCAGTTTCTTGATCCGTTTTTTTGAGCGAATAAAACAACTGAAAGAGCATCGAGAAGAGCAAAATGAGAACTGGTACTCTGGATTTCTTGTTTTCAATTTGCGACTTTTGTTGCATTGTGTTTCTCGCATGGCTGCCTGTGGCTCAGCTCGTTGTCAAATGATAAATACTGTGTCATCATTATATCAGTTCATAGCATATCTTTTACATCGTCTCGCCTCAGGGCCCCTTACGGTATCCACCTCTGTTCTTTTCCGCGTCCATCTTTCTGTCCCTGCCTCCGTCTCTGTCTCTGTCTCTGTCTGTCTCTCTCTCTCTCTCTCTCTCTCTCTCTCTCTCTCGTCACCCTGCTATTCCTTGATTCATTTGTTTGCGTCTTTCTTCTGTTCCTCCTTATTTTCGTTCTTCTCTTTCTTTGAATGCTTCGAACTCATTTCATTTTTTGTTTTTCCCTCTCCCTTTCTGTCTCTTCCCGTTCCAGAAAAAGAACATTATAGTACAAATAACATGCAGACGATACCGAGACAAAACCACAAACTCTAGACACATGTCACTGCTCATAGCCGCCATGAGTATGTGCAGGGATGTCGATGCGTCCATGCAAAACTTCACGAACATGCGCTTGTAAGAGGCCTTCGAAGGGCTTCTTGACCCATGCCGTTGCCAGAAAATTATTTGCGTGCCTTCCTGCTATACCGTATTATTCCTGAGTTTTGTTTACTGATCTTCGAAACTTGCCCTGCCTATGTTAACGGCTCCTGAAACTTTAGGTTTGACAGCTTGAAAAATTTGCCGACTTGTCAGTCTTCC